GCTCTGAAAAAACTTGTAACGGACCCAAGGTCACACCAGCAGCTGCATGGGGAGGAGTGGGAAATCAAACCCAGTTCTCCCAGATTAGAGTCCACACTCCTAACCACTACACCAAACTGGCTCGTGGGCTTGTATTTAGTACAAGATCACACGTGTTCTACTGTCCATTTCCCTAAACTGTGCACTGCTGGCTACATGGTGCACTTGGGCACAAGTGCCACAAACTCTGAGAAAACTAAGTACCAAGTGAACACAGACTGGAACATGGGGTTACGGCACAATCCGAGCTGCTGCTGAAAATGGCAGCCCTGCGTCCCCTCCTCTTCCTCCTCCTTCCTTCCCAGTAATATAAAGACATAAAAAGAGCTCCACTGGAGCAAAGTTCCACCTTTTTAGCATCTTGTTTCCAGCAGCTAGATTCCAGCAGAACTTAGAGACTAACAGGATTTTCAGAGTATGAGTTTTCGAGAGCCAGAGCTTCCTTTGTCAGAAAGGGATCTCCGTACCTACTTGTATCTGACAAAGGGAGCTTTGACTCTCGAAAACTCATACCACGAAAATCTTGTTTGACTTCAAGGTGCCATGGGACTCAAATCCAGCTATTCTACTGCAGACCAACATGGCCACCCTTTGTAACTTGTCTCCAACAGTGGCCACCTGGGAAACCCATAAACAGGCCCTGGAGACAATGGCCCCACTCAGCTTTCTGCCCCCCAACAACAGTGGCCCCTGAACATGGGGTTGGATAGAGCCAGATTCTTAATTTAGTCTCAGCTCTCGTCCATGCAGCAACCATTATCCCCAGAAGAGCCCTTTTTGGGAGCCAACGGGGACTTCCTTTTTTACTAGCAGAAAAGCTGGCTGGATCTCACCCATGGAGGTTCCATGGCTAATACTATGAACAGAGGCACTGCCCATAAATTTGCCTTCTGGAACCATCTTGAGCCAATGGCCGAATCTACATCTTATGGCAGCGAACGCCCCAGACGAATTTTCTACTATGTAAGATGTATCACTTTTCGCCTCTCCTTGATTGACTGCCAATCAGCCGTACCGAATTTTTGATCAGAGGTGATGTCACCATGTCGAGAGATTCCTTGCCTCTGCCTGGCAAGCGGCAGGTGGGGAGTGGACCGAGAGAGGGGTTTAAATTCACCAACCCGATGACCTCACATTGTGCTTTTTGTCGACATTCTGAGAGACAGAGGAAGAGGAGACGCAGGGCTGCCAGTTTTGACGGCAGCTGTGCACGAGCTGTAATGTTTAGTTCTGGCCATGGACTGGCGACTTTACCCTTTCGTAGGGACAAATGAAACAGGCCAGGATTTTCACATAATTGCCTAAGAATGGTTCTTGAAAAGATGGAGTAGAAGAAGTGGTTCTTACTTCTCCCCCTGCCCCCAAGGATCTACAGGTAATATTAAGAGAAGCATCCTTCACTTGTGCCATCCCCTTCTAGTAACAATACCTGCACACATGTCAATGACAGGTATGCATTTAGTTCAGCGCTGGGACATTACATTGCTCAGGTTGAATGCAGGCAGGGAACATGAGACATCCGGGATTATCGTGAACACAGCAGGTCGCCATGCGGGGAAATCACAGGAGGACGAGGGAAATGCTTACCACAAACACACAGTACGATTCCATGCCAATGTCCTTTCATCTGTGCCAATGCTGCTACCCCTTTTGGCTTTTCAAGAGAACTGGAGTTTTTCTTTTGTGATGTCTCTTTATGGTCTATAGGTCTAAATCTGAAGAAGTGTGCATGGACACGAAAGCTTATACCTCGAATAAAACTCTGTTGGTCTTAAAGGTGCCACCAGACTCAGACTTCGTTATGGTCTATATAGTTATTGCTCAGGAGGTTTATGGGCCAAGCAACTAGGTAAGGGAGTTGAGTTCAACGGCAGAGTGGAGTACAGAGGAGGTTCTCTCTAGGTTCTGGAGGACAAACCCGGTGGTAATATCACAGATTGTCCCTAATTACCTAGGAACGATATCGTACCTGACTTCTCCCGTGGTCCTGATCTGGCCTGCTGTTCAGACATAATGGGGAACAGCTAAAAATTCATGTAGATGCCCTACAGAATTTGGAGACTGCTACCATTTTGACCTTGTACTGGTGAGGGTTGGGACCTTCTTGCTCCTCATTCAAGAAATATTTTCCATGTATTTGTGTTCCTCTTTTGGAATTCCTGTCTTTTTTAAAGAGAACCGTAACCATGTCTCTTGCCTGATAGCAGTCATGCTACCCGTTAAGTCAGGTGCAGCATGTCCCGGGGGCACGGGAACAGGTGGAGGTGAGTTTATGAGCTGGCTGGATTCAGGGCTGTGAACGAGCAGGTGTCGGGGTCTGCGAAAATGAGTCAGCAGGAGAAGAATTCAACAAGTGGTCTACACCGAGTGCATGCTCTAACAAAAGGAAGGAGATGACCTGAATAATGACGGAGGAGAATCAGAGCGACAGCTGGGATGAAGGACAGCTCAACACTACCGATCGCACCTGTGCAAAAGTTTGGACCTCTTTACAGAAAGGTGGAAACTTTCATGCAATAAAAAAAAGGAGAGAGAAGTGCAGCGGAGTGCTGAACAGGAACAAGGGGTGGCAGGTCATGGGATGCAGGGTGGATCACACCACTTTTACGTGATCAGCGATAGAAGATCCAGTGTGGAACCAACTTAGTATAATTCAGCAGGGGGGGGGGAGCTACTTAAACTGGTTTTGAGACCCAGTTTGGTGTAGTGGTTAAGAGTGCGGACTCTAATCTGGGAGAACCAGGTTTGAGTCCCCACTCCTCCTCATGCAGCTGCTGGTGTGACCTTGGGTCAGTCACAAGTTCTCTCAGAGCTGTTCTCTCAAGAGCAGTTCTCTCAAGAGCTCTCTCAGCCCCACCTACCTCATAGGGTGTCTGCTGTGGGGAGCGGAAGGGAAAGGATATTGTAAGCTGCTTTGAAACTCCTTTGGGTAGTGAAGGGCAGGGTATAAATCCAATCTCTTCTTCTCTTCTTGAATGTGACATTCTCATCCCAGGGATCAAATGGAATCTGACCAACAAAGGCAGATAGACAACAGGAAGTGGGGGTACATATTGTGGTCAACAACTGGTGGATCATACCGCCATCAACTCTCTTCGAAACTAGTGTCCTTCTCCAGCTAAACTTTCTTTCTGAGGAGGTTCTTAAGAAAAAGCTTGGGAGACATTTGCCTAGGCTCAGATCACATGCTTGGGTGGCTCCCACGGGACTAGCCCATGGGGTTGTGCAGGGTTGTGAGTGCGACCACAACCGAGTAGGGATTACGTGGAGGAGTGGACGGCAGGAACAAGCCCCTCCACACAGGGCTGCAATGTGAGCCACCACAGTGCCCCTTTTCTGAGCTGCTACGATCACACAAATCATGGCGGAGTCAGGTGTACATGCGTCACATGGCGGTGTCCGTTCATGAGATCAGCGTGTCCAGGTCTTTCTGGCAAACTTGCTGGAAGCCCTGAACGACTATTCTCTAGTGCATCACCCCATAGCCACCAAGCATATTAGTTAGGATGCAGGCGCCATATTATCTGGAAATGCTACAGTTAACCGGAGCTGTAAAAACCCCTTTTGCGGTGCACCAGTCTACGGGGCACATCGCCGGTCCATTTTTGTGCAAAAGTGGCTTTGAGAGGGAGAATGTTTTGTTCATCATCTGAAAGCTGTTACGTGCCAAGAACGGAACGTTAAAAGAAAAGAAGAAAGCAATTGGCTGGCAACGTTCCTCTGAGCCGGTTTATGGAGTGTCAGTTTATGCAGACTCCATAATGGTTCCTGGCGGGTGACATTAGCATAAATAAAAGATAAAGCACACTTTAGGTGAAGTCATTCTTTTAATGACGGAGTTGAAGGAGTCTAATTCATATGTGATGTGTAGATGGCCAATGCAAGGGGCAAACTTCACGTGTACGTTGTTGAGATATTTTATGTAGACTGTACTTTCTTCCAATGTTCTCGACTACTTTTTTGGGCGTGCTGTTGTGGCCTCCTTTGTGGAGAAAAGTGGAGAATAAATATTCCAAGAAAACACGCCCTCACAGAAAATGAGGGTGGGATGCATTCTTATTTTAACCAGAAAGGGGGCACGTTGAAGAGCAGAGCTGAGGCCCTTCTGCTTTATCTCCTCGTGGTGTGTCACCGAAACTCTTTTTCTCCACTTCGAAAGCAAGACGGGTGAGAAGGGAGAAGGACAAGAGAGGACATAGGGCATGGGAAAGGACGTGGCTCCCTTCTCCCATTCCCCTGCTTCAAGTTTAATCGGGCAGATACATCTAATTGGTCCTGCATCAGTTTAACCTACCTTCCAACCTTGCCAGACATGGGACTCAACTTTAACCCTACCTGGTGGCAGCAGGGATACTATGACATCAGAACGACATGTCAGGAAGGGGAGAATTTAGATTCTCTGAAGCTGCCTGGGCTTAACAGGGAATCCTCTCATCTGTTGAGTACCTTCCCTTACCGCCCTGGGTATCCTCTTAGCATGCATGGAAAAAGAAGTAGGGGGCGTGATGTCTTTGCCCTCTACACATGTGCCTTAGCAGGTGGTCTTTCTAAAAACCAATGGGGGGAAATTATGGCTCTATAGAGTGACCTGGTAAGTGGGGTAACGGTGACCCACCCGAGGGTCCTGAGCTGTGGGTCGAAGACTACTGACGGATGCCATTCCAAGACCTTCAGAGGGCAGCTGGGACAAAAATGTAATAGACCAGTCAACGCATGTAGCATAGGCATGCTCGTATTACCAAATGAAAGGACATTGTGGGGGGTGGTGTTGTCTTTTTGATCCCCCGCATGAAAATGTATGACGCCGGTACATGAAAACCTAAGAACAAAAAAAGGATGCGCATGCTGCAGGGTAATGTCACGCCGATTCAATTAAGCATGCTCTTTTCACCCGTTCCCCTCCTTTCCACCCCCCGTTGGTTATTCCCTTTCATCTGCTCTTCCTTTTCTTTCCCCCCTACCGATGGTGCAGTGCTCTCCGTTCCAGCCCGGGCTGCATTCACACTTGCCGTCCCGGCAAGTCCCGTGCTCGTTGCAGCGCGGGTGACACGCTCGCTGATCACAGGCCGCTCCCATCCACCCCTCCTCGCAGCGGCAGGTGCCTCCGACACAGACGCCATGTCCGCCACAGTCCGCAGCACAAATCTCTGTGGGAGAGGAGAAAGGAAAGAGACCGGAGGGGGGGGGAGTGAGAGAGGAAGGGGAGGGTCGGGGTGAAAAGAGAAATCCAGAATATTGTTGTTATGAAAAGGCAGCCACACTCCAGTACCTCGCCTGACGGGGAATGAAAGGAATTCCTGCCGCTCATAACGCTAATCCTTTCTGACAATAAGAATCTAATAAGCAGATTACAAAAAGAGGAGACGGGCGTGAATTGGTGAGGTCTGTCGGTGATTGAACCTTCTATTTGCTTTCTAATACTATCACGCTCCTCTAGCTTTTTGTGAGCCGGCCGAATCTAAAGGGAGAAGGCTTTTTTTCCCCCGAGGTAAAAGGAACAAAAGTCACTTTTTAATTAAAAACTGGTTAAGTGTGAAAACAACGAGCTGCTAAATCGCCCGAAAATAAAGTTAAGTGTTGTTGGCAAAGTCTATTTGAGGCTTGTTAGCCCTCTGGTCCTCGGGCCGGGGCCTACGAAACTTCGCTCTTTTGTTCTCGCTCTTGTTAACATTTACAAAAGATGTTTTATTTCTGTTGAATGTTTTCGGGGAAGCTCTGAAATCCGGGATACACGAATGGCAGCAGGAAAGGCCTTCTGGTCGAGATCTGAGATCCACTAAACTCAACAACAACCTACCAGGCAAAGTTCTTTCCAGAACCCAGAGACACCAGTGCCAGAAACTGCATTCTGGTGGCCTGGTTTTGGCAAGGTGGCCTGAAAAAGGCCAAAGAAGTCCAGTCCTTTCCAGATCTTTCCAGCATCTAAAATACTAGCCCTTGGGGTCATCCAGTGAAGCTACTGGGCAGCAGATTCAGGATGGACAAAAGGAAATACTTCTTTACACGGCAACTGATTAAAGCATGGGATTCGCTGCCAGAGGATGTGATGATGGCCACTGACACAGATGGCTTTAAAAGGGGACTAGACAGATTCATGAAGGACAGGTCTCTCAGTGGCTAAAGGGAACTTTCACATTCAGAGGCAATCAACCTCTGAATCCCATAGCGAGATGGAAACATCAGTGGAAGGCCTTGGCCTCTATACCCTGTTGTTGGCCGTCCAAAGAAACTGGTTGGCCACTGTGTGAGACAGGATGCTGGACTGGATGGAGCACTGGTCTGATTGACCACTCGTCCTGCGGCAGTGAATTCCGTGTGTTAATTATTCCTTGGGTGAAGTACTTCCTTTCAACTGTCCCGAGCCTACTGCTTATTAATTCAGTTGAGTGCCCACGAGTTCTTATATTGTGAGAAATGGAGAAAAGTACTTCTTTCTCTGTCCCATGCATGATTCCGTAAACCTCTGTCACGTCACCCCTCAGTCGTCGTTCCTCCAAACTAAAGAGCCGTAACCTCTTTAACCTTTCTTCAGAACACCTATAATAACGCTATAATACCTTTTTCGAGGTGCAGTGACCAGAACTATATGCAACATTCCAAATGAGGCTGCACCATAGATTTATACAGGAGAAACAGACGAAGAGGTGATTATACCCCACTTTTCTCTACCCTAAGGAGTCTCAAACTGGCTTACAATCACATTCACTTCCTCTCCCCAAAAGAGGTATGTTGGGAGGTAGGTGGGGCTGAGAAAGTTCTAAGAGAACTTTGACTGGCCCAAGGTCACCCAGCAGGCCTCATGTGTCTCAGAGTGGCTTACAATCACATTCACTTCCTCTCCCCATAAGAGGTATGTTGTGAGGTAGGTGGGGCTGAGAGAGTTCTGAGAGAACTTTGACTGGCCCAAGGTCACCCAGCAGGCCTCATGTGTCTCAGAGTGGCTTACAATCACCTTCCCTTCCTCTCCCCCCGACAGGCACCTTGTGAGCAGGCCTGTAACTACAGTGGGGCATCTCGGGGCCCGGCCCCCTGACTTACCGCCAAGGCCCCCCGACTTCCCATCCAGCCCAGGCGCTCCCTTGGGGTGTGTGTGTGCGGGGTGCCCCCTGACATTTGAAGGCTCCCCGAATTTTAAAAATCCTGGCTACGGGCCTGCTTGTGAGGCAGGTGGGGCTGAGAGAGTCCTGAGAGAACTGTGGCTGGCCCAAGGGCACCCAGCAGACTTCATGTGGAGTAGGGGAGTGGGGAATCAAATCTGGCTCTCCAGATTAGAGTCCGTCGTTCTTAATGACTTCCTCACGCTGGCTCTCCAAAAGCTGACAACTACAAGAAATCTGTCAGGTCTAGAAGGCAACACAGAATTCCTTCTGTTTTTTGGTGAGACGGCCTATCATGTCATCCCCTTCTTCCAACGAGCTAAGGGCGGCGCCCAGGGGGTTGGTTCCCTTCCTCATTTTACCGTCGCCACAGAATGCCACCTCCCTGCCTTCAGCCTCATTTGGTAGTCCCTTCTACCACCTTAGTATTCTGTCACATTCTAACCCTCGTTCTGCAGTGTGTGCTGACCAAGGTTTTTGAGGTGCCCGCATGTTTGGAAACAGTGCATTGCCTCACTTACATTCTTGGGATTTTTTTTTTTAATTACTTCATTTCTTCTCAGTGGGGACCTGAAGTAACATTACATCATTTCCCCCTCCTCCATTTATTGTCACAGCACTAACTCCACGAAGTCGGTTGGGCTGAGAATGTGTGACTGGCCCAAAGTTACCCAGAAACCTTCCATGGCAGAGTGGGGGATTCAGACGCTGAGGGCTCTTTTTGTAGCAGGTACTCCTTTGCATATTAGGCCACACACCCCTAATGTAGCCAATCCTCCAAGAGTTTACAGAGCTCTTCTTACAGGAGCTACTGTAAGCGCTTGGAGGATTGGCTACATTAGGGGTGTGTCACTTAATATGCAAATGAGTACCTGCTACAAAAAGAGCCCTTAACCTCCCAAATTAGGGTTGCCAGGTCCCTCAGGGCAGCCGGCGGGGGATGGGGGGGGGAAATGGGCTTACCAGGAGCAGGGTGTTTCGTTCCACTTTTCAGGGATACACCCACATGACTTCCAATATGACCCGGAAGTGACTTAGGCACATCGGGGGCAACACCAGGGCTATTTTTGGGCAGGAACGCACAGGAACGGAGGCCCGGCTGGCTCCCAAGTTGGCCACGCCCAGCAGGAACTCCTTAGCATAATAGGCTACACCCAACAGCAGAAAACTCATTTGCATATTAGGCCACACCCTTGACAGCACAGCTCATTGGCGTATTAGGCCACACACCCCTAATGTAGCCAATCCTAATGAGTTTCTGATGTGGGTGTGGCCTATTATGCTAATGAGTTCCTGCTGGGCTTTTTCTACAAAAAAAAGCCCTGGGTTTTGACAGCAAACAAGGTAAACAGAATAAGAAGCAAAAGGTGGGTGTGGCTGGATGACCAGACTTCTGGTAACATGGGGTGTGTGGCCTAACATGCAAAGGAGTTCCTGCTCCAAAAAAAGCCCTGGGCAACACTATGGTTTTTGGGCAAAAACTCTATGGTAGAATTAGCTTTCACCATAGAGTTTTTGCTCAAAAACGAGAGTGTCGCCCCGATGTACCCACAACACTTCCGGGTCACATAGGCATGTTGCTGAAATGTTGGGTGCTCTTCCCTGTTTTGGGGGGTGTCCCCCCCACTGGCCAGCTGATTGGCGGTAGAGAGGTGAGGCCTGGCAGCGGGGGACCCCTGCCCCTACTGGGGGTCTGACCACTGTACCGCACTGACTCTCACACTGTACCCCATGATGTCAAGGAGGTGTCTTCATAATGTTTGCCGTTGCCCTGTAATTTTGGCAACCCAGTCCTCTTTGTTGCAAGACGCTACGATCAAGAAAGCCGTTCCTTCTACCGCTATTGTGCATCTTGCTATATTAAGGGTATGACTGAGCCCCTAGAGAGAAGAGGGGTTGGTGTTATACAAGACATTTGCTTCAGGTCACTGCCTGCCTGCAGGGGGAAAAAAAAGTCCCCAACTTTCCTCAGGCTGTGCTAACATTATATCTGAGCAAAATTCATCCTTATATAACTTCCCCCCCTCTCCCTTCCTGCAACAAAGAGAGACACAGGACCTTCACTGAGTAAGAGAGGCACCGGCACTGTTCCTGCTCTACTTAGAGCGCTCTCCACATTCAAAGACAAAGGTAGGTCCATAACATGTATCTTTCAACGGCTACTAGTCATGTTGACTAAAGGGAACCTTCACATTCAGAGACCCTAGTCCTCTGAATCACAGAGCCAGGAGGCAACACTGAAAGTGTTGGGGAAATTGGCAAAATAGTTAAAAATTCAGAGATTGCAATGGATCTTTGCTTCACTGGAGAGGAGGCATTTTTTTCTATGTAAAAAATCTTTATTTCTAAAGAGAAGGGATCACAGGAAATCTACAAAACAACAAAGAGACCTAAGCCTACATCTTTGCACTTTGACCACACGATCTAGAACAATGGAGATTCTTCTTCTTCTTGACGGAAGGAAATCACCTGAATGTATTAACCAATGATTGTTAGTAAATAGTCTTCAGTTTCCCGGGCTTTCTTCCCATTGGCTCTGCCAGGTTCCCTTCCAGGTCAGTCTAAACAGTAGCACACAAGGTAAGCACACATTAACCCTATGACTGAATTTTAGACCTTGCAACACACATATTTCCAACAGAAGGAAGGTCTCGGCCTCTCTGCCCTGTTGTTGACTGTCCAGAGGAACTGGTCGGCCGCTGTGTGAGACAGGATGCTGGACCAGATGAACCACTGGTCTGATACAGCTGGGCTGTTCTGAGGTTCTCATGAGGGGAAGGCCTCGGCCTCCCTGCCCTGTTGTTGGCCGTCCAGAGGAACTGGTTGGCCGCTGTGTGAGAGGGGATGCTGGACTAGATGGACCACTGGGCTGATCCAGCAGGGCTCTCCTTAAGTTCTTATCAGGGGAAGGCTTCAGCCTCTGTGCCCTGTTGTTGGCCATCCAGAGGAGCTGGTTGGCCACTGTGTGACACACAATACTGGACTAGATGGACCGCTGTTCTGATCCAGCAGGGTTCTTCTTATGTTATTAACCTTCCAGGGAGCTCAAC